ACAGCGGTGAGAATGAAGATTTCTGTCTTCTGGGTTGTTGCGCTGTGTAGTCTGGTCGATGTTTACCAACGTTTCAGAGGTCATACTGCCCTGATGACTGAGGCAGTATGACCTCTGAAACGTTGGTTATATCGACCAGACTACACAGCGCAACAACCCAGAAGACAGAAATCTTAATATAATTATGTTTGGCTCACTAGAGTAGCCACACAGTCTAAGGCATTTAACTGGAATTGTGGGTTAAAATCCCGCTTGAGGCTTAGCTGTTTGTCCATTATTTTTTTAGTGTTTTGCTGGCATGTGTATGTAGTGGCCCTGTAATTGACCAATCCCTAATCCAGGGACTCCTGTATAAACATTAATACAAATTAATAATTTCAGAAATTAATTCTGAACTCAGAGATTCCAGAAAACCTTATCTATAAATGTTACAAGAAAGGAAAAGAGTGAGAAATAATATTTTTAGAAAATTATGACCAAATAATGAATTGAATATGAGAAACGTGTGAATAAGGTGACTGAATGCAGTTTGTGTTTTAAAACAGATCTTGAATTTGTATATGTATAATTCTGAGTACACGTTTTGTAGAGTTTGAGAACAGAAAGTCATATCTTGAAACTTTCGTTCTGGTCAGCTTAGTCAGCTTAATGGTGAAAGTGCCTGAGATAAGAATGAGGCTTCCAATACGACTTCTGAATGTGTGGCTTCATTCTGATTGCTATCAGAACTTACATACTCTGAACAGTTTTGTATGTGGCGTGTGTTACTGTAAAATGTACAATTCTTCTGAACTTGCTATTGGTGGTCCTATGTCCATGAAACATATGAGCAGAAAACAGCCACTGTTTAAATTATCTAAAATTGTTTTCCCTTAGACATAGGTTAGATGTCAGTAGGTGTTTAATTCTTGGAAACTAATTTTCTGTTCCATTCTGCCCCAAACGTTTATTTTGCCCTTTATTATTTGCACAAAGTACATGAAAGTCAAGAGTGATGTGGAGATCATGTCTGTAGACATGTTATATCTATTTTAGAAACTATTTGATGGATTTTATTTTATTTTGGATTGGGGTCTACTGAACCAATAAATACCCCCTGCTTGTTGTGAATTTATCATAAAACTTTTAAAGATTTTGTCAGTAATGTCTCATGGTACAGAAAAATGGTTTATGACATAAAAGACTAATCTCATAAAGTTCTACAGCTTGCTTATGAAATATCTTTTGGCATGACTTATTTTTGATGGATTATAAATTAAATATAATTTCTGATTGTTGGGTGGTGTAATTTCTGCAAAGAAATATGCTTTGCTGCAATTAATTAGTATGTATGTGTAATAAATGAACAGTAAGGCCTGTTTGGAAAGTAGGCAAATTAAAGTTTGGAGTATATCTATACATTTTTACTCTTAAAAAGAAACTATTGCTCATAAATCTTGTGTTGGCCTGTGGTTATTTACACAGGTATCATTAATAGGTTAAAAACAGTGCTTCTTTCATGTGTAGTGTCTCCCATAGTGACTTAAGCTGTCCTTTGGACAGCTGGGTTTTCATTCTTTGCAGAAACAATAACTGAATTCAGGCAATCTTTTGGGCCCCACACAGCCTTCTATTCAGTGGGTACCAGAGTCTTTCCTCAGGCTGAAGCAGCCATAAGCTGACAATGCACCTCTATAACCCCGGGACCTCTGCAGAGATTAAATTAGACCTTTGAAAGTTTAAAGCGCCAGGAATGAAATTGCATAAGAGCAAACTCGCGTATACAAAAGTTTGCATTTCACAAACAGCTTTTACCGATTCAACGATCTCACTGGAGCAAATTTGAGTTAACGAAACACACGTAATTGAAGAGATGACTATTTATAATTTTTATTCAAACTCAGTGATATAAGAATTACGATTTAGTAAAAGAAGCAGTTCGAGAAACACTGTAAAATGCTATAAATAATAGTAAAATATATTTTTTCACTTTTTGACTTTCTGCTTTCAAAATAGGCGTTATTCTGAATCGGCGCAAATCGAGGGCTACCTGTAATGTGAGACATGAAGCTAGTAAAACCATCAGGAATAAAGAAAGGAAATATCTGAAAGGCAAAATTATTGAGCTTGATACAAATAATAAGGACAAAACTATCAGAGATCTGCACAGAGGCAAAAGTGATTTTAAGAAAGGATATTAACCTCAGACTAATTTGGTAAAGGACGATAATGGCAATTTACTTGCTGATCCAATCAAAATTGTGAATAGGTGGAAAAATTTCATTAGCCAGCTCTTAAATTTTTATGAGACTGGTGATATTAGACAGATTAAAATACATACGGCTGAACTGTTAGTGCCAGAACCTAGTTTAGATGAAGTTGAACGAGCCATTGGGAAGTTGAAAAATTATAAATCTCCATGTATTAATCAAATTAAAGGAGGATTATTTAAAACAGGTGGCAAAAGGTTGCATATGAGGATCCATAACCATTTCAGTTAATTTGGGATAAGGAAGAGATGCCACAACAATGGAAGGAATCCATAATTATTCATATTCATAAGAAGGGGGACAAGACTGATTGTGGTAATTACCGAGGAATTTCTCTGCTAGCAACCTCATACAAAATTCTATAAAACATTCTGCTGGCAAGATTAACGCCATATGTGAATGAAATTATTGGGGATCATCAGTGTGGGTTCAGACGAAACAGATCAACGATTGATCAGATCTTCATCTGCCAGGTACTAGAGAAAAAATGGGAATACAGTAGGACCGTATATCAGTTGTTTATAGATTTCAAAAAAGTCTATGACTCTGTGAAGAGAGAAGTGTTATATAATATCCTTATTGAATTTGGTATACCAAAGAAGCTAGTGAGTCTAATAAAAATGTGCTTAAATGAAACCTGTAGCAAAATTCGAGTAGGTAAATATGTATCTGAGACATTCTTCATCAAGAACGGTCTAAAACAAGGAGATGCTTTGTCTCCCTTGCTCTTTAACTTTGCGCTAGAATGTGCCATCACGAAAGTCCAAGGTAGGCAGGAGGGTTTGCAATTGAATGGGACACTTCAGCTATTGGCATATGCTGAAAATCCTTTGAAAGGGTTACAAAGTTCAAATATTTGGGAACAACAATAACAAATCAAAATGATACTCGTGAGGAAGTTAGGAGGAGACTAAATTCCGGAAATGCTTGCTACTTCTCAGTCCAAAATATTTTGTCTTCCCGTCTGATTTCTAAGAACCTGAAAATTAAGGTATAACAAAACAATAATTTGCCTGTTGTTTTGTATGGGTGCGAAACATGGTCTCTCACTCAGAGGGAGGAACACAGATTGCAGGTGTTTCAGAATAGGGTGTTGAGGAGGATATTTGGGCCTAAGAGGGAAGACGATGGGGCGTTGAGAAAACTCCACAAAAACCCCAAATCATACTATATTTTTGGATTCTGTGAATATGTATTAAAATGAAAGGAGGTGTAATTCTGACTTTCAGTGTAGTGTCAG